GTGTGTGTGTGTGTGTGTGTTTCAGCACCATGGACAGCTCAGGAAAGGGTCTGAAGTTGCCTTCAAGTACAGCTCGGAAATCTGAACTTTCTTTAGACCAGGAGAAATGAACAGTTTGTTGGACTCTGCAGTGAAGTGAAGCATCATGGTAAAACGTCATCGCCACAGACTATAAATAAAGTTTCTGCTGTCACAAAGATTTAATCACCAAACTGAATCATCACAAATGTTTCTCAGATACAGTTTGTTCACGTCTGGAGAATTTTATATCTGAAAGGAAACGTTAGGAATCATCATCATATGCTCAGTGACACCTCTGCCACACTAGAGGGCGCCACATAATTTAGTGAAAAAGGTGAAAATGAATCATAACTAAAGCCAAAGCTCGATCCACCCCACACCAGTTACCTGCTGTGGCCACTTGGTGGAGCAGTTTGTGTTTCATAAACAGAACAAAATATATAAACTCACTGTTTCACACTTTTCTATTTCTATCCCTTTCAAATTAAAAGCACCATCACACCCAGACTGTGGATTCTGGACCAATTAGATTTTGTGTTTTTCTAAAAATGATCTCATGTAAATTCTGTGAAAACAACAATAAAATAAAATTCAAGATCTCACTTCGATAATATACATGTTATATATATAAGATTAATTATTAATGAATTAAAATCCACCTCATTATGTTTTAAAGCTTAAAACGGTATTTGATTTCACAGACATGTTTTTATTACCTCGGTTAGTGAAGGGATTAAACTTCGTATAAATCATAAATGACCTTTTCCTGGTTGTTGGAGTCAAACTCTTTAAAGGCCTGGACCTGTTGCACTCCCTGTAAAACAGAGTTTAGATACAGACTGTATATTAAGCACACAGGCGAGAGACTCGGTTCACTTTGGTTTATTCAGCTACAGAACAGAGACTTCAGTTGGCAGCAGTTTCCAACCACGACAGAAAACACAGCATTTAGGTCATTGAAGCCACAGAACTCCACCTGTTTCCACTGCAGTCGCGTGTTTGACTTAAACAAGTTTTGATTTTGACTGCTGGGCTGTTTGTGGGATTTCAAACTTCCTCTTCTGAGAACTGACGCTCACCTACTTTGAATCCGATCTCACCACCCCCCCGACCTACAATCTGTGCTGACCCATCGCACACAAACATCCAGCAGATAAACCTCGAGTGATCGTCACTGACTCTCCCACGACGATTCTCGCATGGTGCAGAATTTCTTGCCCACTTGTTTCCAGGCTATGCTTCGATTTCCATGATGACATCATGGCTGCTTCTCTCTGCCAGTGTCCGAGCTGCTGCAGCAACAAACATCAGGTTTAACTTTCTCTGACAAAAGACGACAAAACTTAATTTGTCACAGTTTAAACTCTCTGTGTTTGGTTTTTATCTCCATGAATAAAATGGCATCGTTATTACTTCTGGTGATTTGTTTTGTCGTGATGAGCTTTAATACGTTTGTGAAAGCACCCACCTCTCTTCCTGTCTCTGTATATGAGTCCGAGTAAGATGGTGGACAGCAGGTAAGGCGTTCCCACCAGCAGGTGAAACATCAGCCTGAAGACAGACGATGGATTTAAAGCTGCAGGCGGACATGAGGACGAAGATGGACATGAAGCTGGAATCATAAAAAAATTAAATTTAAAAAAAGGTCAGAAACGACTCAGGTCCTCATTGTTCAGAGGCAGATCCTCGCCTGCACATTCAATCCCAGGATTCAGTGCAGTTGGTTGATTTTCTCTGAGCGGTCGCAGCCCTGGCAGGTGATGAGACATCCCTGACTGGAGCTTCAAACAATTAATTAACAATAAACGTTCTCGTCGTGTCCAGTCACAGTTCTGTTGCTAGGCAACCTGAGTAAGGGTAGGACAAGCTGGTGACGTTGGGTTCACGGTCTGACCTGTGTAGACCTCGACCTCTGAAGGTGCCGACCCCGGATCTGAGAAGCTAAAGTCAGAGTCAGACGTTCTGTTGCTGCATCGACACGTTCGTACAGAAGTTTCTGTCGCAGTCGTAAACTCACCGTGAACAGTCAACCAGCTGGATAAAGATTCTTCACCTCCGGAGCTGCTGCACTTGTAGAGTCCTTCATCAGATTTGGAAACACGGCGAATGCTCATCTCCCCTGAGGAGCTGTTGCCGATGTGGCGGCCATCTTTGAAGAAGTTGAAGACGCGGCTGGGGGACGACGTCTCTTTGCAGTGCAGAGTCACAGCAGCTCCCTCCGACAAAGGGAGCGTCGGACTTTGCAGAATCACAGAGCGATCTGTAGGAAATAAAAAGTACAACCTGAACCATGTGGATTTCTTAGGATAGACGCTGACACCGATTCAAAATGTCAGATACAGATTATTTCTATATAAACCTTTATATGGTTGTTTATATACAGGTGTCTAATCAATGAAATAATAAAACTAAATTCTCCATAATTCCTCTGATGTCATTATCAAACCAACAAAGAAATGTAACTGTTTGATATTTTACTCTTTAACTATAAACTTTATGATAAATGAACCAAATAAAACCTAAATATACAGAACTTAAAATAACCTGAATGTAAAATGTAAATATTAACACGATTAAAGTTTGAATATCAGCAAACATTTGATACTGATTCGTCTGTGAAAGACTTTATCAGTCAGCTGATTAATTGTGTTTTTCTTCAAACTTTAAACTCATTAGTAATTAATTCATAATTAAAAATAATGAATCATTGAATCCAGATTAAAGTCCGACAATAGAGCGGCAGTGTTGTGAGTCGTACCAGTGATGGTGATGTTGACGCTGCCGCTCCGCTCGCCGTCCGCAGACTCACACCAGTAGAGGCCGCTGTCTGACGGGTAGATGTTTCCAATGGTGCAGGTGGAGTCTGAAGAGCTGGAGCCCCAACCAGAGGCGCAGGACCTGAGTCCGCTCTCTGAGGTTTTCCTCTTCACCTTCCAGCGGCTGGAGTTGTTCAGGTCTTCACAGTTCAGGGAGATGGTGTCGTACATGAAGAACTGAGAACTGTCAGGGCTGACCTGAAGACAAGCCGCCGGGAGGAGACGTACTGACGAGTAAAGAAGGGAATGGAAAACTACAAGAGGAGAAACACATCCAAAGGAAAGGAGCAAAGGGAAAGGAAAGGAAACCAAAGAGTGGATGAGGATAAGTGAAGAATAAAAGAAAAAAAGGAAATATAAAAAGTATGAAAACAGGAAAAGACTTGAAAAGAAAAAGAGGCGTGAATAAAAACAAGTGATGGAGGACAGAAAAGACCATGAAAAAAAGAAATGATGAGAAAGAAGAATGGAGAGAAAAGGACACAAAGAGCCGATGAGTGAAACAGAGAACATTGTTCAGAAGAAGGTGTGAAAATGTCGCTGTACTCACGCAGCAGCAGACCGAGCGGTGTGAGCTGCATCCTGTCACTCTGCAAACTGACGTCCTCTCCGACAAACAACCCACACGGGCCAGTGTTCGTCGTCATGGCAGCGGATCATGTGAAAAATGAAAAAACCCCAAAACATTTAGACCATCTAAAGGTGCAGTGTGTAGAACGTAGTGACATCTAGTGGTGAAGTGTCAGGTTGCAGCTGAAAATATCTCTTATACAAACACTGTCATCTTGTGTGCAGTGCCCAGCAGGGGGCAGCAAAGTGGCTCAACGTCATTTCACCCTGTGACGTTTTAACTCCAGATACAAATCAGATAAAGTGCAGCACCATTATTTATTCACCAGGGGGGGCTCATTGTCTGTTTCCAGGTTAACGTCTTGTATTCTGAAGAAGTTTTATTTCATTTCAACAGTCGTGAAACTTTAAAATACACGTTAAAATGTCATTTTA